GTCTCTCTCTCTCTCAAACCCACCATCTTCCCCCTCCCCCAACGACCTTCTTCTCCGACGCTTCTCAAATCAACATTCTTCTCCAAAATCGATGGTCTTGAAGGTCAGGACGTCGCCGACGGCGGTGAAGGATTCGTAACCAGATAGAGAGAATTAGGGCGAAGGAATCACATCTAGGAGAGGATATTGGCGAGTGTTTAAATGCTAATGTTTCAAGCTCAGGTCATCATCTCGTGGATGTTGTGATTTTCTCCAGGATCAATGTTGTTCAGTGAACACGCAACATGTTCATTCTTCTTCAATTCTCTTCTTCCGTTTCATATGTTTTTGTTCTTCATGATTCATTCTCGTTTCGTATGTTTTTCTTCTTAATGCTTCACTCTCGTTTTTGTTCTTCATGCTTCACTCTCATTTTTTTTATTAATCCTATCGGAATTTTTGCTACAAAATGTTATTTCCCCAATTTTCCCCAATTAACAAGTTTTGTACAATCACTCGAAGCTTTATGTACTTATCATAATCTGAAATTGAAATTCTCCATTTAGTTTAATACTTTTGAAATCATTGATATATTTAGTTTAATACTTTTGTTGGTTGTTTCTGAATTTGTTCAATATAAGCTCTGCTTTTGCTTCTAAATTTGAAATTCAGTCCTTTGGTAAGATCCGTTTGAGCTCTAACATACTCTCATTGCGTCCACCTATTTCTTTTGAATTTGTATGAATTCATCTACTTCTGATTTGATGAGTTTGATGTTTTAATTTACAATATTGTTATGAGACCTACACAACTTCCTTCTCAATCTGCTGATATGTTTAAAATCCTTACTGCAACTATGAGTTTGGTTCTAATTGTCAACTTTATTGATCCAAAGGTAAGTCACATACCATTTACTACTCCTGTAATCACCTTTTTTGCATATTAATATAAAAGTGTTAATCTCACTTTCATGATAGTGTTTGGTGTTTCAAAGTTGGAGTTCTTTGGAAGGATATTGATTGATGTGCGACTAAGTGTCGAGTGAAGTGTAACTTCTTTGAAAATCTTACTATGAAAGCTAATGTTCAGGTATATGCATACGATGCATTTTGCTGATTATTAAATCTTTAAAAGTATGTTGTTGATTCAGTTTGGTATTGTTTCATCTTAAAAATGAGCCTCACATCGTACTTTTAAACACACTTTAGTGTCCTTTATTTTTTTATGCAAATATCCATTATTTATGTTCAATCATTTTTCTCGATGCAAGGTAGTAATTAAATGACACAATACCAACTAGGAAATGGTTTCCTCCTAGGAGCTAATTATATCCAGGTAAAAGATCTCTCACATATTATAATGCATATATTAATTTATATTTACAAATGGTATATACTACGAGTATATTCACATTTGAATATTATCATCAAAAGGAAATAATGGAATGAAAATTTCCGAATTGGGTACATTTTCACCAGTAAGTAATTATGTAAAAAATAGCATATTAATCATAAGTGTGTGGTGATTCACATATAAATCACAAGTGAATCGCATATGAATTACATTCACATGTAATTCACATATATATCACATATAATTGACATGTAAATCACAAGTGAATCACATATGAATTACATCTATATACACATATGCATTTTGTGTGAGTGTTCTTCATTAATTTTTTTAAAAATTGTTCTTATTAGTTTCACATTTGAATCTTAAAAGATACAGTTACATGTGAATATCACATTTTATAATTACATGTGAATCATACATGATATAATCACATGTGAATCTTACATGATATATACATATGCATTTTTGTGAATATTCTAGCATTAATCATTTTTTTATTTTTTATGTATATTTGGAAGAATTTGTGGAAAATATTTTTGGAAATGGAACTTCTCTAACGAGGGTTTCCGGGCCAGCTTTCGTGCACCGACTAATCCCCCGCTGCAAACATGAGACTTTGCCTCATGCCCAGGAGTCACTGCAGGCGAACTTCCATGGCCACAAGGGCTGAGTAGTGTCAGGATTTGAACATGGGTCAATAGGTTATCCACCATATATTCCACATGTCTTACCATATCTTGACACGAACATATAAAAACGCTTTGAAATTTTATAGCATTTTTTGTTTTTTATATTTTATTTTGTATCGAAAAAATGTTTGTACTATTGTGTTTATATATTAGTAAATAAAAATGAGTTTTTTTTATATAATTTACTTATGCATACTATATTATAATAAATATGCATATATGCACTTAAGTGGTTGATTTTTTGGGTTAAAAAGTTATAGTTTTTTTATTTTATTTTAATATTCTAATTTTTTTTTTGAATTTATTGTTTTTTAAAAATTTACCTTTTAAAAAAAATTCATGGTTTCTAAAAAAACTAAAAAATATGCATTTTTAAAAAAAAAATCAAAAGTTATTATTTTAAAAAAATCGGAACATTTGATTTATTTTGTTAATTTTTAGACCTTTTTTAGTAGTATTTTCAATAACACAAAAAATTAAACATTAAATAAGATTGGTAAGATGACGAGCCCTTAATGAGTTAACTTTAATCTAACGCTTCACATTTAGTTCCCGGGTTCTAAGGAAACTATGAGTTCTCAACGGATATCACACACACACACACACACACACACACACACACACCACACACACACACACATATATATATATATATATATATATAATATATATATATATATATATATATATATATATATATAGGTTCAGGTTAATTTGAGACCATACTAATTTTATGAGACCGTAATACGCAATCTAAAAATAATTTTAAAATGCAAAATAAAAGGAAAAATCCGAAAATTCTTTTTTTAATTATTATTTTCGTCACTTTTTTTACCTAAAAAAATAAAAATAAATAAATAAATAATTACGGTTTTTTTTTAATACGTGAAATATTCTAATAGAATATTACACTGTAAATATTCTAATGTGATTTTTAGAATGTTAAAATATTCTACTAGATTTGTCAGATATGTAAAATATTCTAATATTCTACTAGAATATGTAAAAAATGATTTATTTTTTTTTGGTATTTTTTTAATTTTTTTTTTGGAAAATATAAATGACGAAAATAATATCTGAAAATTTTATTTTTGAAAAATTTCAATTATTTTGCATTTTAAAAATGTTTTTTTATTTACAAAATGAGTGTTTAGGATTGCGTCTCACGGTCTCACAAAATTAGATCGCTCAAAAACATATATATATATATATATATATATAGATATATATATTATATATATATTATATATATATAGATATATATCCTTTCACACATGATTTTGAAAATAATAAAACATGTTTGAAATATGAACAACCTAAAATTTTGAAAAAATAATGAAATTAAAAATTTTGAATTTAAGGAATAAAATATTTTTAAAAAAAATATTTAGTATAAATGAAAAAAAAACATTTATTAATTTCGAATTTGATAATTATTAACTTATTTTACCATTTACCTATATACATTTTATAATAATATGATATTTTTATGGTATCTTAATAAAATAAGATAACCTTCGGTCTCGAATAATTACTCCTATAATTATTTTTTAGAAAACTAAATAATAAATTAAAATATCTTACCAGTAAGCGGTAGCATGCGGGAGAAGTTAAAATGTACAAGAAACCCACTTCAAATGGGCCCCGCGACGCCATTTTAATACCCTCTTATTCAATTAGCGGACCTCAATTACCCACAACTCTACATCATCACAAAAGATATTTAATGGCCCTACATGTTACACATCACCCCCTTCATCTCTCAATTATGACAACTTTGTGGTGTTTTATTTTATGACAACTTTGTGTGGAGTTGTTTGATGTTATTATTCATATATTAGTTTGTATTTGATATTTCACATTTAAACTGTTTTCTATTTATTATTATTTATATCCAATGTTTAAAAATCCGTTTTTTTGTTGAATCGGTTTGGTGGCTAGCTTTCGGTTCAATCAGTTCAATCCAGTTTTCATAATTTTTATAAATTTTTAATTTTTTTTACATACATACATATATAGTATTGGTGTGCGTTGATTTCAAGTTGTATACACTCTGTTAACCTGATCGATTGAGTTATTCAATTTGTTTTGGAAAGAAGTTGTTTTTTAATGGGCTAAGTGAAATTCAATTATCCAAGTCTAAACAAACGGTTTTTACGAGTTCTACTACACCGTTTCAACTTTTTTTTTTTTTTTTGAAGAAACCGTCCGGTTTTATCTTATATAATAATTGGAATAAAGTTGATTGTTGTTGAACCGCTCTCATCCCCGGTTTCGTTTTTGGTCTGACCGGTTCAACCGACCAATTTAAACTGGGATTTAAAACATTGTTTATAGGCTGATTTGAATTAATACTTATTTACCTAATAGTTAATTTATCAATCATTTTCCCATTATTTATATTGTTATCGACATCATTTTTAACATCTTGTACAATAATAATAATAATAAACACATTCAAACGTTTACAGTTGAATATAAAACAAACAACTTTAATGATTGTATATTTAGACTTTACCACTATCTACTTTAGTAAGAAACTATCCTCTAATCTCTTTTTTTAATAACAATTAAGTTATTTAACATCTTTTTTTTATATATAAAACCTAATATAGTTTGTTGTTTCTTCTTTATATATGTTTTTAATTAAAAAGTATTTTAAATATATAATTATAAGTTAAAGACTGTCATTAAATAATATGTCAGATCAAATATTATATTATATTATTAAAGCAAAAAAAAAAAAAAGAGTTTCTTTTCTCTTTTGAGTTTTGATGTAAAGTGGGTCTTGGGAATATTCTAGGTACGTTGATAGGTTGTCCCCCATTCTTTACAAATTTCAATTCAACAATACGAGGGACTAAATTGTCACAATACGAAAGTTGAAACCCTCCGAAGCAAATTTGAAATATAAAACAAAGCTTCCCGTATAGAAACAAATACAGATATCGTATAGTATGCATTGAGTGGTTGTAACTTGTACGTGTAGCCGCCACACTAAATCCGACATGAGAGCTCCGATTGGGTGCAGTAGTATCCATACGTCTATATAATACACCCTCAGCCTCATCACCTGAAGAACATTGCTAACAATCCTTTCAGAGAATATTCTCTTCGTCGACGATCAAAATGAGTCGTTACGTCATCTGTTTACTTGCTTTCTCGATCATCGCAGTAGTCCATGGCCGTGAATTGGCTGATGATCTTCTCAGGTTGCCGTCGGAAAAGCTTGATTTCTTCGACGCTGGAAAGGACGACTCCGTTGGTACCAGATGGGCCGTCTTGCTTGCCGGATCTAATGGTTACTGGAACTACAGGCATCAGGTAATCGTAGTAAACAGGATATTAAATGCTTGAATTTTGCATTTTTAGTTTTTCCTTGATAGGTTACGAATTACGATCAGTTTGTCGTCGTCGTTACTTACTCTACCTGTTCCAGAAGAGCCACAAACTTTAATTCTTCAAATTTAATCAGAAAATTTTCTAATTATATCTAACATAAGGATGATGATTGTGTTAGATTTGTTACTGAATCCATATAGATATCAATTTTTTCCTTGGGGAGCATAAAGCATTCAATTCGACTTAGAAAAGTAACGTGTTAAAGGAATATTCAGTCAAAAATTTGTCTGGGGTCAGCAGGAACTGTGCTTGAGCAAGGTTAGGGGATTCGTAATGAGTGATTTTTAACAAGTTATTTACTGCTTACTTTTGTCCGATTATGTATTTTGTTTGATTGAACATTTGAAAAGTTTTTGTGGAAGTAATTATCTGAACTCTGTCTCTATGCTAGCAAGTTGCTTGTCTTTATATAAATTTAAACATGGTTTGATCATGGAACCTTTTAGGAATTATGGAAGCTATACAAAAAAACAAATTCCCAGATAAAAATCATCAAATCTTGAGATCCATTTGCTCATTTAATCTAAGAAATAAAAACCTCCTTAGTTTGTATGTGGTTCAAGAAAGTTAGTTTGTTACAGTATGCAATAGGATGACCTCATTGAAGCTTTCACTTTTTTTCTATATTTGTCCTTGAGAAATTACAAGTCTCACTTGTCTACATATTTAAATCTTTTCTATTTATGTCAAATGACTCCAGGCAGATGTATGTCATGCATATCAAATCTTGAGAAACGGTGGCGTGAAGGAAGAAAACATTGTTGTTTTCATGTATGATGACATTGCATATAATAGAGAGAATCCCAGACAAGGTGTCATAATCAACAGCCCAGATGGTGATGACGTTTATCATGGAGTACCCAAGGTTTGTTTTTTTATCATCATCCATTTACAATATCATATATATTATGAGATCATAATATAACCGAAAAACTAAAATGAAACAGGATTACACTGGGAAAGATGTTAATGTTGACAACTTTTTTGCTGTTTTACTCGGTGATAAATCCAAAGTCAAAGGTGGAAGTGGAAAGGTTGTAGATAGCAGCCCAAATGATCGCATTTTTGTTTACTACACCGATCATGGTGGTCCTGGTGTTCTTGGTAAGTTACTATTTTACCCTTACATTTTAACAACCAACTTTCCATCAATTGTAACATGAGAGGATAAAAGAAGGGCAAAAAGGTAAAATTAAATTATTTTGTATTCTTTCTCAGGGATGCCAACAAATCCTTACATGTATGCAAATGATCTTAATGAGGTCTTGAAACAAAAGCATGCTTCTGGAACATACAAAAGCTTGGTAATTTTTAAAAAATTTTGTTTTCATACTATCTCCCTTTCTAATAAATAAATAGGTTGAATCTCCTTTTGACATGTGTCACTTAAATACAATTTTTCATTCCACATATCAAGAGATATATTAGGCAACACTTCAAAATTCAAATTTACTTTTTCTAATTATATGTTAAATTTGAAATTATAATAACTTTAAAATTTTGATATATCTCTTTAGTTTTTTTTTTTTTTTTATATAATTATAAATTTTTACTATGAAAGTTGAATTAATTTTATAACCCGTGGTTCCCACGGGTTATAAACTAGTGTATAATAAATATATACTTTTGATAGATATTAATCCTGATTTTTTAAAAATGTTCAGGTGTTTTACCTTGAAGCTTGTGAGGCTGGAAGTATATTCGAGGGTCTTCTTCCACAAGGTTTAAATATCTATGCAACCACAGCCTCTGGCCCTGATGAAAGCAGCTGGGGTACCTACTGTCCTGGGGAGTACCCTAGCCCACCTCTAGAGTATGACACGTGTCTTGGTGACTTGTACAGTGTTGCCTGGATGGAAGATTGGTATGTTTTTGAAATTTACAGTTATACCCTTTTTACTAAAAGAAAACTAATTCTTTCTATCTCTCTTGTTGCTTACAGTGATGTACACAATCTGCGAACAGAAACTATCAGACAGCAATATAAATTGGTAAAGTTATTTACTTTTTATACACTTTGGTAAACTTTTTTTTGACATGATTCATTTTTATTTATTTATTTTAGGTTAAAGATAGAACATCAAGTGACAACTCTTATTATGGATCCCATGTGATGCAATATGGTGACTTACCACTTAGCAAAGATAGCCTCTACTTATATATGGGCACCAATCCAGCAAATGAAAACTTCACTTTTACTGAAGAAAACTCGATATATAAATCACCTAAATCTGTCAACCAGCGTGATGCTGATCTTTTACATTTCTGGCATAAGTTCCGGAAGGCTCCGGAAGGTTCCGAAAGGAAAATGGAAGCTCAGAGAAAGTTCACTGAAGCCATGTCACACAGAATACACTTAGACACCAGTGTACAACTCATCGCCAAGGTTTTGTTTGGACTAGAAAAGGGTCCGCAGGTGTTGAACACCATCCGATCCTCCGGAACACCTCTAGTTGATGACTGGACCTGCCTTAAAACATTCGTAAGGACATTTGAGACACATTGTGGGTCCCTATCACAGTATGGAATGAAACACATGAGGTCATTTGCTAATTTATGTAATGCTGGAATCACAAATCAACAGATGGTTGATGCATCATCACAAGTATGCACTACATTCCCATCAAACCCTTGGAGTTCACTAACCAACGGTTTTACTGCATAAGGTGGTTGATTTTATCAAAAAAATCAAAAGGGGATGGGCTATTAATCTATTATGATTATGTTTGTTGAAATATATATATGGTAGTATATTAGTGGTATTAACAATATATATAGATATAGCTTCTTTGTATATAGAGATTGAAGCTTCTCATTATAGTTAATTAGGTCCACCACCACGAAAAGTTGTTATATGTTATATGTTATATGTTATATGTATGTAATGGTGTAATCTTTGATATGCAAATCATGTATGCATGGTCTACATGATGTTGGAAAAAGTTGAATTGCTCAAATATTGTATGCTATTTATTGAATTTGAATGTGTGGAGGTACAATGCTATAATAAGGGGGAAAAATAGAAAGTACACTGCTACATGAACACAATTTTTGAATTGGTCAACACTCAGCGCGTTTGATACAATCTCAAATGGTTTAGTTTTATCAAATTATGGGCACCATGGGCTTCTACCAGGGCCGCCATAATAAAATATAGGATCATCAACATAATCAACTTCATATAAAATATCATAACAACGATATTCATCAACAATGGTGTCGGACCATTCGGGTATCATCAAAGGTTCTGAGTTTTGTTCAACCCGCATACGTTTCATGGTCCCACAGTTCTCAAAGATTGGTGAAGGAGTGTAACCGTTGCCCATTTGTGTGGCTGTGTGCGGGTGAGTCTTGACCCTGGTGCTATACACCTCGCCACCCCACTTCACCATGAGCCCATGGTGCTTTAAAAACACAAACAGCTCACCGGGCCAATACCCTATGTTGATCGACTCGCCATAGTTCACCCACCAATTGTTTGTTTTTGGATCCTATTTATTCATAAATTTAAATTACATATATAGATAAAATATGAAATACCTTTTGATTATAAAATATATGATGGTTAAAAACATAAAACTAACTTTTCAAATCTCAAGTGATCACCGCTATGTCACATTGATGGTGGTTAACAAAATATAAAATTAATTTGAGCATAAAATGTTAAAAATCTTTGAAATGTCCCAAAATCTTGTAATTTTTAATTTAAAAACCTTGTTTAACTGGACCAGAGGGTATGATGATATAATGTAAAACAAAAAAACAAACTATAGCTGTTTTATGGAATATTACCTTAATAAATTTGTTAAAAGGAATAGTGTGCAGACCTTGTAAATGTAAACAGTGATTTGGTAGGGAAGGCCCTTAGAGTTAGAGATAGGATAAATGGCCGCGCCAAGAGCTACTTCATGGCTCACTTGAACGAATCCTGGACACGTCATGTCAAAGCAACCTGTTTTAATTGATCCATCGGCCTGTTAAACTTTACAAATAAGTGATATTGTATATATTCAAAAATCAAAATTTCCTTTAGTAAAAGAAAAGGAAACAAATAAATAAATTGGTCTATGTAGACAAATCGTTACATGACTATATGGCATATGCACATTATCATGCACAAATAAACTATTAATTACGAATTTCACAAAAATAAAAAATGTGATGATAACAAAAAAAAAAAAAAAAACTTACTGTCCAATAGACATATAAGCGAGTTTCGTGATCACCATAAACACTTGGATTTACCTGAAAAGAATATAAGTATTTTGTAAACATAACTATTTCATTTCGAGAAATTAAATATCCTCCTATTTTTTTTCCTACCAATCCTCCTACTCATTTAAATGATAACATGTGTCACATTAATATACTAACTATAATTAAATTTCATTAAATGGACATTAAATGGTACATATGTCACAATTTAATTGGGTAGGAAGATTTGTAGGAACAAAAGGTATGAGAATATTTAGGTGTTGTTTGTTTTTTTGAAGCAAAAATCCATAAAGTCTGCGGACCACCTCTGCAACCCTCTGTAATAGAAGAGATGGACCAAACGGCTGCAGACTATAATAAGAAGCGCGTTTGTTTTTTTTAAATCTGCATGCTGCTGCAGATTTAAATCTGCATGCTGCTGCAAATTTTTAATACCAAAAATTTAATAATATATGACATTTCGGCAAGAATTTATGATATTTCAGCAAAAAAATAATTATATTTTAACAAAAAATAATGATATTTTAGCATAAAATAATGATATTTCATCAACAAATTATTATTATTCAATATAAAAAAAAAGAAAAAAAATTTCAACAAGAATAAACAAAAAAAAACGAAAAAAAATGTAAAATAAGATTCCGGTAATATATAATCAATATTTTAGCAAGAAAAAAAGAAAAAGAAGAAGAGGTTGGAAGAGGTAGGAAGAGGCAAAACAAGTGATGCGCCAAGAAGAACACGCGCAGAGGTTTTTAAATCCGAAGACTTCTAAAAAACAAACAATTGCGAGATGAAAAGTGTTGCGCATGTGCTGCGTCGCGCAGCAATAAGAGGTCTGAAGAGGTTTTTTTTCAAAAAACAAACAGCACCTTAATTTCTCATCTCAAAATCATCAAAAAAAAAAAACTTACATTATTTTTAGATATCTAATGAAATAATGAACATCAGACTTAATAAGTTCTAAAAGGAACAAAAGAAAAAAAAAATCTTACAGCCCATCCAGTTTCAACAATTTCAAAATCATCCACATCGCCATTTTGAATAAGAACATGAGAAGTACTATACTCGTCTTCCTTCTCAACGTAAGGAGTCCACACTTTGATATCGGTTTTGGCCCCTGAGTAGCTGTAACCCTGTGTGAGTACAAGTGCCACCTAATCATAAAAAAAAAAAATAATAATAATAAATAAACATATATGATTTCAAAATATTTCTCTTTTTAATAACAAACAAAAATGTTTGATATAAAATATAATTTTATGAAAGGCGTCTTATAAAGTTAAATCCAAGACCTAAATGACCACACAAAAATTTGAGTAAAATATATCTTTAGTCTCAAAGTATAGTTGTTTTTTTTTTTTTTTCAATTTTGGTCTCAAAAAAAAATCTGTTGCAATTTTGGTCTTTAGCTATATACAAAGATCAAAATATAATTTACTCCGGAAACTTAAATATCATATAGCAAAGACGACCAATAGAATTTAGTTGAAGTTGGAATGCAAACCGAATGATTTGCCAAAGAGTTCCTTGGGTCCTTCAATATCGTTGTTTGATTCTTCGATTCATTAGGTGTCTTTCTCCCATAACCATGGACATTGAGAAAACGCTTATGAACTCTGCGAATTGGAATTGTTCCTTTTGGACAACTTCCACTTTTTTGCCATAGTTGTGATGTTATTGTCATAGTATTGTCTTCCTTTTTGGTATCTTTAAATGTTTTTTTCATCATACTGTTCTCAATATTCAAAACGTTTGTCGGTGTCATCTAACAAAATACCATGCATGTTTTCGTTATTTTGTTTCTAATTTCATCTCAACATGCAAAAGGTAGAAAAAAACCTGGATAGTATGATTCTTTAAAGCTGGATGTTTAAAAGCCTGTTGCTTGTAGATATCAACACAGTCAATTATGTCCCCGTCTTCACTCTACATTTTCACATTGTGTATGTCAACTATGTAAGTTCAAAATGATACAAATACAAACTCAAATTAGATCTTTTAGCTAGGCAACAATGTAGACTTATCGTATTTGGATTTTTTAAAATAAACATATGACATTTACATTTTTATTAAAAGTAATTTATATCAGTTTTAACTTTTAAGAGATTCATAAGAATAACAAAAGATTGTTCTAAAAGGACTATATATAGCTTACCAAAATGCTTTTGACACCTTGCTTTTTGGAAAATGTTGTTTTTCTTGTTGTAGTAGCATTGAAAAGGTTGCTTTTTGGAATAGAGTCCCCCTCCACTCCATCACTAGTTATAGAACAAGAAAGATATATTATTCCAAATGACAAAATTACCCCCAATTTCATATCCATCTATTATAGTTTCTAGTGAAGATATGAGAGAATGGGGGATTTTTTGGAACACAAAAGAGTGAAGTATGATTTGAAGATACTTAAAGAGGCTAAACTTTAAAGTGGTGTTCTACGTAGTTATGCATGATTCACCTTCTATATCATCCAATTCACATTCTCTTTTTCAATTTGAAAATAACCAAGAGTACCAACTATAATGCAATAAAAATAACAACATTATCAATTAAACAGATGAAAATATTCGTCAATACAAAAAATAATAATACAATAAACTGATAAGGAAGACTGCATATGCTTAAGTTTTGATTTGCATTCCATAGTGTACATCTTCAAAAGCAAGCATTTTTACAACACCAAATCTTCGCATATTTACATCATTTAACGTACCCAAAAATAAACACATTTACCCAAAACTTACCACAAAATAAGCACAGGGTACAACACCACCAAATCCAAATTCAACCCGAATCATACTTGTTTTCTTTCCTCTTGTATAGACCGAAAAATCCGTGCTACAGAAGCAGTTGCTGACCTGGCGTTATGAGGCACAACTCTAATAACACGTGGCGCCTCCTCCGCCACTCCCACCTGAGCCACCGCCGGAGCCGCCACGGGTGCCGCCGGAGGAGGAGGAGACGTCGGAAAAAGAGAAAGCGCGTTTCGATTCCATGTTTTGTCACTTCGACTGCTTGCTGTACTCACTTGTACCTCACTATCGTTACATGCTTTAAACTTGACCCGGGTCGGGGTCTGGGTCTGGGTCGAGACAGGTGGATTGACCGGTGGCATGTTGTAAGCTGGAAAGTAGCCATGGCTAGCCGGAGGTGCGAAAGGGTGAACCCCGGTTGGACCTTCATAATGATGATCAGAAGGATGGGGGACACCATAGTTACCGAAATTAGGTCCCATCATGGGCCCACAACCACCATAAACCGGGTTCATGAACCCGGGTCCCGGGTAGGGTTTGTACACGAGTCCTTCAGATGGTGACATGACCGGAATCAACCATTGGTGTCCAGGTGGCGGATTGTAATTCCACGAGGAGATGTCGGCAGGTGGCAGCGGCACCGGTAACGGGTTGCCGGAAAACGGTCTGCAATAAGTTGTCTGACTGCCATTTTGAACGGTGGATAAAGAGGCTTTCCCGGGTGCATTTTCAGCTGAGAATTCCGTCTCATCATTCGGCTTCTCGAGGGCGAGGGCGAGGGCGTTTTCGTCATTTTTGTGTTTAGGTTTTATAACATATTCAATGGGAATTTTCTTGATTGGAGTGACTTTTGGTGGTTTTGATAAATACAAGTTTTCTTCAAACAAAAGTTGAGGTGATCCAGCTATTAATCTCTGAACCTGTTTTTAAGTACAAGAATGAAACAATTAAGACTTCAGGGACCATAGTGAAAAACAGGAATAGTTCAGGGGTATTAACGAAAGATTATACCTTTATCAATCTGTGGAGCTCGAACACTTGAACAGCAAAGACTCTTTGTTGGCTGTAAAGGATAAGGGATGCAATTTGAATGAGTTTTTTGATTTAAGGAAAGATATTGTCAAGAACATGTAATTAAAGGGGTTGAATTGAAAAAACTTACTTGACAATAGCTCTTCTTGCTTTCCAAAAATGTTTTTGACCAATAATCCCTACAACATCATCAGGAGAAATATCGACTCCACAAATGGAATCCACCATCGACGTCTCTGAAACAGCATCAGCATTCGTAGGATCATTATTATTAGGGCTTCTTAAAGCCTCCATTACTGGAACCGAAGTATTCTCATACCCACTAGCTTTAGATGCTTCATTTAAACCGCTGTCACCCCACAAAGTGTTATCAGCTTGTGAGTCGCCTCTGTAATCCCTTAAATTCCCATTATTTGAAGCATGTCTGTGACTATAATTTGAAGATTCGTTCGTCTCCTTCAAAGGAACTTTAGGGTTTTGCCTGGACAGTTGATTTGAGGCAGATCTAGTAAAATCTTGAGAGTTTTCTTTTTGAGGTTTATTGATGATTTGTCTAGCATTCTGAACATTTGATAAACGACCTGAAAAGGCTGCTGCACCAAATGGAGTGATGCCTTCGTTTTCTCTGTTTTGATGATTTTGACTTGTTCCAGATTGTTGATCAAAGATTGGAACCCTAAAGTCGTCATCTTCTTGTCTCCTTTTATGTTCTTGTTGTTGCACACGTTGATTGTTGAGCTCAGAATGGCGATTGTCCGTCATCCTGGTTGGGTGCATTGAAGACGATTGTTGAAGTGGGGAAAACGTAGCCCTTTCATTCATGGTGCCCTAAAATCATAAGATAACCATAAATTGATATGAATTACTTCAAATTAAAGCAAAAGTTAAGTGTTTATTAACTCACCGGTGTTGAAGATGACGGTGGAACAGAGTTGGCGGTGGAATTAGGGTTAAAGGGCAACGCTCCGCCATTGAACCTCTGTGAAGGTATACTAAGCTGTTCGTAAAGAGCCATTTTGTTTCTAGGAGGTGCTCGTGGACCTCCTTTTTCAGTATCATTCACATGAAGCCTTGGAAACATTGGCCCCATGGTTTTTTCTTCATCTTTCCCTCTCTTCATCTTTCTCTTTCCCCTTCAAAATTCAACCACACAATCAGGAAAAAAAATAGGAAAAACTTGGAAGGGGTTGCTTTTCAATCTCAAAATTGATATCGATTTGAAGCTGTTTTATGCTAGATGTATAGAAATTCGTAACAAGAACGGCGGATGGAACAATATCGGTGAAGAAATTGCAATACCCTAAATTGGTATTAAATTTGCATTTGGAAAGTACCAAATCTGACAAAAAAATGTACAAAATAGAGCGAGAGATACCTTACAGATCGGAAAACAATGATCCTAACTTAAAAGAGCATTGGTTCCTCAGGAATCCCTAATATGTTGGACGTTTGATTGAAGTGATGACAGTGAAAATTTCCCCCAAATTGAAGATGCGACACCAACCCAAAACAAACCTAATCGGGTAAAAACGGGATTTCTTCGACGGAGATCAGAATCGAAGCAAACCCCACTTCCGATGAACAGAATCACGAAACCCGAAATAGCAAAATTAGGTTTTCTTGTCAACAAATCATGGATTTTAAAATAGACCCAGTTATGGACACAAGCATAAGTTATGAAATAAACAAGAATCAAATAATCAGGACTCTAGCAGATGAACCGATTGTGAAGAAGCGAGATGAACAATAGAAACCAATTGTGTTTGGTGGGGAAAAACATGGAAATTAACTACAAATTTTCCATGAAAAGGTCATATGAATAAAAGAAATGCAAAAGTGCAAAACAAGTGGACCCAAGATTTTTGAAGATAGAACAGAATCTTTAACGCAAGTTCAGACATAAAATAGCATATCACAGGTACTAGTGGAGCCACGTCACCTACACATAACACTACCATAACTCCGTAATTAATAATATACTTTGTACATTTTTAACATAAACATCCTAATTAAAGCCTAATATCAAACCGAATCAAACCCTTAATATGGTTTCGTACAAAATAAACCAAACCACCTATTTACCGGTCTAAAAATACTTTGCTTCAAAAACTGTTTTCATATAACTTCAGAAATTAAATATTCTTCTAATGACAAGTGTCATGTTATTAATTTTATCAAAATTTGACACTTGTCAGTCTCTATATATTAAAACAGTCTCTATATATTAAAAGAGAAACATAAAGACATCACCTTCAACAATCATGGTCATTCATTATGTTTCCTTGATTAATTTCAACCACTGGATCATTTTGATAATGTCATCTTAAAATAAAATAAAATTAATATTGATTAAATTTGAAAGTTTTGACGAACTGATTTAATGTTAACGTCGTTTATAAAAGGAATATATTCAACTCAATTAAATCTTATCATAGTTTTTTAAAGTAAATTTCGTTTATTCCTAATTAAAATCACGTTCTTAACTGGCATCTTTCTTATATTCTTTCAATTCATGTTTATTATATGAAACGTATCTACAAGACTACGGGATATTGTCGCTCAATTTCAAATAATCAAAGAATTCGAAATTTAATATCATTTCCATAATCATTGTTGAAAGTTATGTATAAATCATGTGCTGCTGTCCGTACATTATGTTTTCTTCAGACCATTTGCAGCATCACGTTCGAACAGCATCACCCTTTGCAGCATCACATTCATCATCCAGGTTCCTTCTTTAATATTAGGGATGAGCATAACCGGGTACCCACCTATTTTCGATGGAACCGGAACCGCTCCCGGAACCGGCGATTCTGAAATTATTGGTATTGGAACTGGAACCGCTTACACCGGTTCCTAGAAATTTGGAACCGCTCCCGGAACCGCCAAGACCGGTTCCGGTTCCGGGTACCCGGTTTTTTGAATATTAATTTCTTTACTTTATACATGCCATTGAAATTAACTTTTATAAGCAATAGGAGTTCAAGATATAAACTAAAACAATTAAAAAACTTGATCTTAAAACAGCAACACATGGGGAATTTAACAAGTCAGCAACAAACTACAAAACAACAAAACATAAACAGTCTCAAAACAACAAACAACACAAAACAACAGCAATGGTGTCGCGAAATCCCTTGATACCCTGATGCCAATTACAAAACCCTTGAGGCGAATTGCATAATATGCATCCGGAGCTTTTTTAGCTTTCTCTGCCTCTTTTATGACCTTATTTGGCAGCTTAATTTGCGGGAAAAGATACATTGCACCTTCTACTTTGTTGCAGGTAACACCCTCTACGCTGTTCAGTGCATCTTCTAATGCCTGTAGTTTCAATATGTGAAGGAAAAAGAAATTAACAATTATCAAGAAATTAAGAATTGCAAACAAATTAACAATTGAATTAACTAACTGACCAGAGATGTTCGAACAAAGATTCACTGATGCCACCTTGTAGATTTGTTCCCGAACTTTAGGACTAAAACCAGTCACCTCCATGTAACCACCTCTTTTCCCACATTCCCCATAATACCCTGAACAAGTTTTGCATTATATTATATCTCTCACTAGTTACTACTCTCTTCATATTATCAATACTATTTCATATTCACAAATAGACAATACCTTTAGACAGTGACTGAGAAGAAACCAAGGGAATATCCTTGTCACCATATCTCATTGAACGAGCAACTTTCTTAAAACAGTGGCAGTGCTTTTCAAAGACATAAATGTTTCCCTGATAAACCTGCATAATGTACATGAATGATGAATGTCACCCTACTTAATCATGCTTCTACTAAAATGCCAATAAAAGTCTGGAAATTAATTATCATAACATAGAGAAAACACATTTATTAGTGTTTAAAAACTAATATAGATTTACCTGGCCAGTTGGGTTTCCTGTATTAATGACAACAAGGGCTCTAACAATAATACCCTTTTGTCTAGCAGTTTCCAGTTGCTTCTTGAGCTCAGAGACCTCAAGTCCCCACCCTGTTGCTTCATCAAGATAATAAGGAACCTGAAAAATCATTATGCATTGCTCTATTATCTTTCTTGTATCCAAAACGTTATCAAAAAAGATATAGTGCATTTCCTTAAACCCTTAAACGGTTAAACTTCATTTCCTGTTATACCCCTGTGACTATATGCACCAGTAGCTCTACCAGGAATTTGATCAAGAATCTGCCATGCTCTTTCTATGGAATCAGCACTGTAAGTTTAATATATGCATATTAGTATACTTGAATGCATATATTGATTAAAAAGATGGAAAGTTTTCTATAAATATACTAATTATTAATGATTTCCCCGATATATACATCCCTGGCATGCTTATTTAATATGGTTTTTAATGAATCCAGTTCATTACATTACCTGAGCCAGAGAAACAATTCACCACGTACAACATACTCACATTTCAAGACCTGGCAATAAAGGGAAAAACATTAGTACAAAGGTCATTCTAGCTAACCTTTCCTTGTTGGTGTTATAGAAATAGTAAAAGGGACTGGATCGACTTGAACTTAAAACCCCTGAATTGATCTTCGAAATCAAAAATAAAAATTAAACAATGATCTTGTACCCAACTCCGATTAAGGCGTTAAGATTTAAACTGTATAAAGCTCAAGTACGCGAGCTAAAACAAACAAGATCGAGTGATGAAAAAAGTAAAAAACATAAATGCGAAGCAAGAAAACGACCTTTGTGTTGAGGGAGTCGACGGTAAGAGGTTGTGTTGACTTGTCGGAAGCCATTGATGTGTCGGAAGGAAGAGATGTGAAGAATCGAGCAAGCCTAGCAGAAGATAGTACTGATTTGAAAAAGAAGAAGAAGAAGACGATTCATGATGGGGATTGAGCAGGTTCTGGTTAAATATAGAGATGTAATAATCGAAATTTCAAGTAATCGATGGAACTTACCTTGAAGATAAATATAGAGTTGTCTTTGTAGATTGAACCGCCGATTGAGCAGGTAAGGCCGACGATTGAACAGGAAGTTGCGATGGAACGAGACTGAGAGTAGAAGAGTAGAACGAGAGTGAAGGGAGTTCAATGTCGGCGTTTTTTTTAGAATGTAAACCCTAGAAACACTTTGACCTAAAAGTAAATGAAGTTATTGTTATTTTTTTTTAAACAAATCACCACTATATAAATTAAAATATATATGATTTTATTTAGAAAAGGCGGGTACCCGCCGGTACCCGGTTCCGGGTAACCGGCGGTTCTGGGTACCCGGTATTGGAACCGGAACCGGCGGTTATCCAACGGGTAACGGTTTTGAAAAAATTAGAATTAGAACCGGAACCGCTTTAGGCGGTTCCGAAACCTTGGGAACCGGAACTGCTTAAGCAGTTCCAGTTCCAAAACCGGCGGTTCCGGTTCCGACAGCAGGTACCCGTTTTTTCTGCTCATCCCTATTTAATATGATGTTCTTAATTTTTATTAATTGTATTAGATTTTTTGATTCTCATTAGTGTTGTATTTTATTGTGATATTGGATGCATGAATAATCTTGATTATAAATATTGGTGTTTGTTTTTCAATCTTTTACTTTTGTCTTTTTGACCTTGCATTTGATGTTTCACTCTACATGTTTGATAAAATCCCCATGAGAAAAGCATAGTGACTTTTGATTAACTGTATGTATGTATGTGTGTCTTACATAATTAAATTTTTTTTTGAGATTATTTGGATTTCACGGTAGTTAATGATTGAAAACTATCATTTACCTTCAGTGTTTTTTATTATCTATATTATACTGCTATTAATTTGACATATTTGCCCTAATTTATCCCTGTCTTTGAAAGGTCATATCTCAGTTATGGGAAACCCTTTTTGGTCGAAATCAGTGAGCAAAGCTTCGTATTTAAGACAATCAATCTTGAAAATAGCATAGATATGAAAATTTATAAAGTAAGATAAAAATTATACGATATTAAGAGATTTCTAAAAAGTACAATTAGTAAAAGCGTTACGGTTACTAGGGAAAAAATAAGACCATTAACATTAGTAAAAATGCAATATATAAACTAAATTATCACAATAGTAATGAAATGTCGTTATTTGATATTTCATATAATTGAAAGATATATACCAGATTACATTGATAATATACCAAAATTATTTAAAGTTGCGTCAAGTCTAATGCAAAGTTCTTGCGAAAACAAAATAAATAAAAACAAACATAAAAGTTAACACTTATATTCATAATCAATTTAAATTAAACCAATCATGATTTAGAAAAGAATTTCCATTGATGATATACTAAAATTAAATCCATATAACATTTAACATTCCATAAATTATATATATGACTTTATTTGAATAGATGAAATAGTTGTCAATATTTAATTCAATGAAAAAACGGTATATTGGTTGGTAACTTTATTATAGAATGAACGTCTAATTAGAATGTTTATCCTTATATAACAATATAATTAAGTAACATTTTTAAATAATTGAATCATAACATAATGACAAGTGGAAAATAGTTAATTCAAAAATACCAAAAAATGTCATGTGGCAAAATAAATAAGTAAAAGACATGTGACAAAATGGTTCTTATTTATTAGAATAATTTTTTTATGTTGCTTTATCTTTTTTTATTGTGTCGGCTTTTTATAACTTTATATGTATTTTTTTATATGTTCCGTGTTTAAAATTTTATATTTTGACGACTTACGCGTTCTTTTATCAAATTCAAACTTTCCAAAATCGGATTCCGATCGTAACCTACTAATTTCATCATCATTAATTTCATATATAATTTCACCCAATTTAAATTTGTATTTTCCTTATATAAATTTTTTTAATGATCCCGATTTTTTCCCTCCAAAATATTTCAGCATTTATTTCTTATGTGCTCCTTTATTAAATTTAAATTTGTATTTTACTTATATCCATAAAAAAAATTATTTGATAACTTACGCATTTTCTTTATCAAATTTAAATTTTCTAAAAGCGAATTCAATCATACACTATCAATTTAATCGTCATTTAATTCATCCATAATTTCACCCAATTTAAATTTGTATTTTCCATATATAAATTTTTTTAATGATCCTGATTTGTTCCTTTTTAAAATATTTCAAGCATTTATTTTTAGATAATGTTGCTTCATTATAATTATTATTTTCCTCGTATAAAATAATAAAACTTACCACTATATATATATATATATATATATATATATATATATATATATATAGAGAGAGAGAGATTTTATAAGCAACAGTAACACTAAAACAAAGTGATTAATTTTTTTTGTATTAGATACCAACCTACTTTGTTTTATCTTTATATAGTAACAATAAAAGTTATAACTTTACACAACAAATATACATATTTCGAATTTTGCCATAGTATTATACCTTACAAAATACAATTTCCTCCAAAATAATATTCGTCAGTAATTTCATGAATAATTTCATCCGGTCTAAATTTGTATTTTTCTTATATAGAGTTTTTTAATGGTCCCGATTTTTTCCCTCCAAAAATATTTTAAGCATTTATTTCTTAGATAATGTTGCCCCATTATAATTATTACTTTTCTCATTAAAAATAATAAAACTTACCAATATGCCTATATATCTATATTTAACTTTTATAAGCAACATTAATACAAAAACAAAATGATGGATTCAAGTGACGATTCATCTTCTTCAAGAAAAAAAAAAGCTAAATGTCTTGTCCCTAATGTTTTACCCATCAATATTTCGTCAAATTACACTAGTGTAACTGTCACACCCCCAAACCAAGGATGGCGGAAACGTCTGGGGGTGGAGGACTTCATGTATAGTATCATAACAACAATTGTAATAGTAATTCAAGCAAACACAACCAACATATATATAATTGAAAAAGTTACATCATTGTATGAATTACATGTTTACGAATCAATTACAATATGTTGACAAAATATGAAATAGTAGACGCCTTAGCGTCCCATCCTCAAAAGCACTTGGTTACCTGTTTAATGATTTCCTGAGAATACAAGTTGTTTGGAAAAGTGTCAACACAAAGGTTGGTGAGTTCATAAGCTTTTGTTTGATATTATTAAAAGTCTTTCGTTTGTAAAAGTAGTATTTGTTTTAGAAAATCCAATATTTTCCTTAAAATGTATATGTAGTCTTAAATTCAAAGACCGAAATGTATAAGTAACTTTTCTTACTTATAATAAATAATGTAAGTTTATAGAGTATTTTTCTAAGGTTGTTAGGCTACAAAAGATGTTATCAAGTCATCTAGTGACTAATATAACAAAAAAATACAGGAAAATAGAATTCACATTTTCATAGAAGATACATTATAAACTCATTCTTTGCATTCCAGAGATGTTGTTTGCATTCTGAACATGTACTTTACACATTGTTACCCCTTCTTATGAAGGGTATTTCGATGATGTTGTTGGCGTTCTGTACATTTACTTTACACATTTGTAGGAGGATCTTTCAGTGTAAAATATGTTTTAATATGGTATCCGATGCCTAACATATTATATATTTAAAATGTTGGTTGGTTCAAAGAAAAATCACATCATCAATTATCAGCTATTACAAGTTTTAGTCTCCTTTTAAAGGTTGTGTCTAAGTTTGTGTTCCTAAAGCTATGGGGAGTGGTTACACCCAACCCACTCAAAAAGTGATGCCAACTCAGCGTCACGTCACCTTCATTATAAGCTTACTATCAAACCACCAACCTTTTGAAATGGTTACCACTTAATATTATTTATTTATTTATTTATTTTTTATATTAGATTACATAAGCATTAGTCAATGACAAAAGAAAAATGAAACAATCAAAAACATTAGTCAATCAACTTCCTCGTCTTCATCTGTCTTAGTCATCACTTCACAACCAACCCATCGGAGTTAGGAACGGTGCTCACGCGTGAGTTGGCTTGCCACATAGAATCTCACGCAAGAATCTCACGCATGAGTTACTCCATTCCGGATAGCCTAAACTTATTTAAAAAAAATAGAAACTTTTTAAAACAAAATACAAGAGTTTGGTATTATTATTAAATTTGTTTTATCAATATCCTTTCATAAGTTACCCCTCTCCAAACCCCCAAACACGTTATTGAGTAAAGCGTGTATATCGACATTGGAGGTAACCATTAAGCCTAAGAAAATCCCCCCTCCAATTGGATTCTATTATAGATTCATTCAATCTTCATCATCGTTTCAAAACCCTCCTCGGTTTCAATATAAATCCTTTCAATTTCGATTTGCTTAAGTGTTTTTATCTCACAAACCTTCCACACAGGTTAAGAACTATCACTTGATTATTAGGGTAATCACTCACACTTGTCAATTCTCAGGTAACGATTGTTTGTTACTTTGACTTTTTCTTGTATATATGTTTGTTTGCTCACCGATCAAACGATTGTGCGATTTTAGTAATTCGAGTTTCTTGCTTTTGATCGGATCAGATCGCAGGGGTTTCAAGTAAAAATAGTTAACGATGTTTGCTCGAATGTTTGGCAAACCTAAGCAAGAAGCTAACGCCGTAACGACGTTAGACAAACTAAATGAGGTAATCTCTTGCGAACTTTGAGAGTTTTGACTATTTCTTTGTTAATTGTCGAAATCTGTTTGCTTTTTTATCTTGACATTCTCATCTACTCGTTAACGTTTGTTGGAAGCATTGATTTTTGTAGGAGTTTTCAGATTGCTTTCTGCTCTATCTGATGTTTCTAGGGTTCGTCTTGCATTTAGTTCATGGTTTTCTGCATCCCTTTGATCTGTTTCTCGTATTTGGTTGCTGAAGGATCTGTATAAGACTATAATCTTACAAGCTATGGGCTTTACATAAGATGTTAACTATCTAATATACTTCATCCTGTTTCAAGCTACTTAATTTTAGTAAATAAGCATACCTTTTTTGCCATGCTCTAGCTAATTGGTATCAGAAGCTAGTCCTTCACTAAGGAGAAGAATGACTTGTGCTATGTTTGTTCTTACTTGTTTGATAACAATTCTTCATTGCTTGCACATATGGTGAATGTATCTTCACCAGATCTGTGAATTAGTGACTTGTGATTGAAGAGAAAATGAGAAATGCTTTTCTTGATTCTTTAAGGGAATGACTGTTGTGTTAAAGTATGGAGTGATCCTAATGTTTTTTCCCCTTTTTTTCTCTTCTATTGAATTATTAAATTTTTCTGCAGACACTTGAAATGCTAGAGAAGAAAGAAAAAGTGCTTCTGAAGAAAGCTGGTGCTGAGGTTGAAAAGGCAAAGGAGTTCACTAGAGCCAAAAACAAAAGGGGTATTAATTAAGATTTCGCAGTTTTATACCCTAATTTGGCAATTGTTTGAAAATTAAAATTATACTAATTATGTTGTTTCTCATTATGGAATTATTCAGCTGCAATACAGTGTCTGAAGCGAAAAAGACTTTATGAACAACAAATTGAACAGCTTGGCAATTTCCAATTGCGTATTCATGATCAGGTGCCTTTTAAATTTTTGTATCATCAAAACATCATCAATTTTACTTTTATGTTTTATATTTTCACTAACAGTTATTTTTAATTAATTAATTAATATTTGTCCATAGATGATAATGCTTGAAGGTGCAAAAGCTACAACAGAGACAGTGGATGCCTTGAGAACTGGAGCTCAAGCAATGAAGGCAATGCAAAAGGCTGTGTAAGTTTCAAAATCTATTTTTGTGTAAATAATAATAATATAAAGGTAAAGTAGTCATTTAGTCTCTAGAAAAGAAACTATATAACACTTTATATCACCCATTCAGCCACTTTACATATACAAGACTTAATGAGAAAAAAAGAACAGCCCCCTAATTCAAAAAGAAACACCATTATATATTTTTTGATTTTTGATTTTTTTTTTTTGTGATGCAGGAATATTGATGACGTGGACAAGACAATGGATGAGATAAATGAGCAAACAGAGAACATGAAACAAATTCAGGAAGCATTGTCAACACCTATTGGTGCAGCAGCTGATTTTGATGAGGTACTCTTTTTAAACTTTATAAAGAATTATATAATATAATTTTGAGAAAAAAAAAAAAAATATTGATTGTATAAATATGCAAGGATGAGTTGGAGGCTGAACTTGAAGAATTAGAAGGAGCTGAGCTGGAAGAACAGCTGCTACAGCCTGCCACCACCGCACCTGCAGCTCCACTCCATGTACCTGCAGGCAGACAATCAACACGTCCACCTCCCCGCCACAACACCGCTGAGGAAGATGAACTTGCTGCATTGCAGGCTGAAATGGCACTTTAAAGGTCTCTCTCTCTCTTTATTTTTTTTGCTTCTTAATGTCCAAAAATTTGATAAAAGTTTTATGGTGTATTATTATTGTTCATGCAGTTTCAACTCTCGGTTGGAAGAAATTGTAAAGATTTGGATGTTTGAAAAATGTTGGTTATGAATTATGATCTGTTAAATCTATTCACATGGACACATACTGTTTATTTGATAACATGATGACTTTTAATCTTCTTAGGAACGAAAAAAAGGATTGTCGTTCCATTTTTATCCTAGTGTTCATGTGTTGATGTGTTATTTGAGAATTTTTTTCTTAGTGAATTCTATATCATTGTTAATGGTGATGTGTTGCATTGTTTTATGGCTAGCATATAATTTTGCCCTTTTGTTGTCATGGTGATGATGGTCAATGTTGACTTTTGTAAAAGTCAACTCCATATGTTTGACTTTCTTATAAGTCAATTGTTTACGTGTAAAGTGTGGCTTTTGTTGACTTATGCTGTGTTGGTTTTGTCAAGGTTTTGGAAAAGCCAATACTAGTGATTACTGATTACCCTAACAATTCTTAAACATGTCTGCTTTTATGTTCGATTCCTTCTGATTTAATTATAACTTTTATGGAAATCAAAACTGAAAATTCTATTTGTGGTTTCGACTTTAGATTTTATCAAGGCTTTGTAGGAACTACCCTTCCTTTTGCCACCAATGTTGTGTCTGAAACGCTTTCAACAATCAAATAAATAATCCGGTTGATCATGGGTCTACTCAAGAACCTGTAAACTGAAATGAGAGTGATCAAATGTAGGATTCCTTAGATAGATTGTTGATTATTTGTAGGATGAGATTGGAACTTGTAAGTGAGATGGAAAATCTTGGTGTGGAAAATTAGAGATAGATGACTGAAATTGAATATAAACATTTTCAAACAAATATGAAGAAAATCATATTGTGCCCACATGACTAAAAGCACAATGCCTAAAAAGAAACTGAAAATAAAAATAAATAGCCAACTTTTATTTCTTTTAATAATTGTTTTAAAACAGATAAGTATGAGTTCAATACAATTTTAGCATCCTACTTTAATTTATTTTAATAACTGTTTTTAAAATAGATAAGTAAGATGCTGTAAGTGACATAAATTTGAAAAAAAAATATATAAATAAATAGATAAAATAAACAAGAAAAGAATTTATAAAAGACAAATGGATTCTTTTTCCAATCAACATGTCTCGACATGTTTTAAATTACTCAAAATCAGAAGGGAAAAGACATTATTTAAAAAGGAAAAAAAAGATATTAATGAAAATGCCCCTACACTGTTTGTAGGAACCATTTCTGTTGTCTTGTTATACCACGGGAACATGCATTTGAATGAGCACATTGACTATTTTGAAAAGCATTGCACTACACTTGATATTATTAAGATTTGACATGAACGTTTTGTAAAAAATCTTGTTTTAAGTAGAATGCCATTTCAAGTTCAATGACCATATACATAATTGACAATTATACCCCTGGTCATAATCATAAACAGATACGGTTCTTAGTATGATTTCAAGTACATATGCCTCTGCCCTCATTTGGTTAAATGCAAGAGAAAGCAATATACTTTATAGACTACAAAATGTTTACAACCAAATAAATTGGTTCATCATTCCAAGAGATGATGACACTTAAAGATAACACAAACATAAAAATATATTAGTTTGGTCGAATTCATTAAGCTAGGGTGATAAAACCATTTCATAAACAGAGAAAAAGAAATTTGGGATAAAAGGACGAAATGCCCTTTACCCAGATTTACAATATTCTACAATTTTTTTGGTTGTAATACACAAATTATAAAAAGTAAAATAAAAATATGATGCTCTATGACCACAACGACTTATTCAACAACTTTTTTTAACCACGGCAACGTTTTTTTGAATAAACTTGCATCACACATAATATTATTAAGATTATACATATAGGTTTGTAATTTTTTTTAATTACATTGCCATTTCAAGTACAATGCCCCTTTACCTAATTGACATTTATGCCCCTTCACCTAAACAGACGTGGTTCATAGTATGATTTCAAGTTTTTCTTTATTTGGTTAAATGAAAGAGAAAGCAATATACTTTCTAGAATATAAAATGCTTACAACCAAATAGATTTGTTCCTGCACAATATCCAAAATACATACTGTCAAGTATAAATTTAGCATCATGCAATGCATTGGTGAGTGGTGACACAGACTTCACAGAAGAAAAATACATTTTCAAGTTTATATTTCGCAACAATAGGAGCAGAGTATTACCTAATTATGCAGTTGACACAAACTCACCGATGAAATGAAGCTGGAGAAAGGACAAACAATTAACAAAACATCATATATATATATATATATATATATATATATATATATATATATATATATATATATATATATATATCATTCCAAAACAAATACACTAGGACTTCTAATGATGATTGGAATAATTATTGCTTAGGAAATGATTCATCTAATCTACCTTGATTTTAGCTAATCATATGGATCATTCTAATTATTATAATGATGTGGAAATTAAATGAAAATGACAAATAAAAAATTGACAAGTGGAAGAAAAAATAAGTCTAACATGCCTAGAAATGGACATGTGGCAAGTTAATAAGAAGTTGACACTTGGCAAAAATGATTTTGATTTATTAGGGTAGATTTTTGCCTTCTAATCTTGGTTAATATGTTGATCTTTGTTCATTGAAGCTGTTATTGTTAGAAGGTTAAACTTATAATTTTTCTCATTCGGGGGATTCGTTCAGCAATGTTACCAAACACCTCTTAATGGTTCAACACTGAATCATTCAGTTTCATCAAAACAAACCCGTAATGGTTAAGTTGAAAAAAATAAATGTCAATATAAGAAAGATATGAGGGTTCGTAAAGGACTACAATATAAGAAAGATACGAAGGTTCATATCAAACAAAATGAAATAATACATTATAAAACATTGGCCACACACATATTTCAACAAGTTTAACCAATCAACTCGATTGGGGAGTAGAAAGAAAGATAAATTTGAACAAAATATAACATCGGATGTTGATTCGAGGTGGAAGAGTAAGGAGATACCCGAGAGATGTCGATTGTTTTTTGTAAAGATAAAGGAAAATCAAGTAACAATGTAGTGTTGTTAAGAATCGAAGACAATTAATTTTGATTTAAGGGTTAATATTATTATAACCCATCAAATTATTTGTATTTATTACAATAGGTCCATAATCATTTTTTATGTATTTAAGGTCCCTAAACTTGTTGTGAACTGTTAACTAGACCATTTTAACTGGTTTTGAAGGTTAACAATAAAACTTGACAGATTTTCGTGCTTAATGCCAATTGATATAATGCCCACATGATATCATATGTTCTTAAACATGTAAGTTAGGTTTTATATATTTAATACATCACCAAACTTTCATAGGTGTTGTTTGTTTTTAAGAGATATAAGATATGCAGTCTATGGACCACAACTACAGACATTTATAGAAAAAGAGGTGGTACAAACGTCTGCAGTCTGCAAAAAAAAGAATGTTTGTTTTTTAACGTCTGATAAAATAAATAGAAGACTAAACTGTACAAATGGTCCCTGTGGTTTACTCAAAACTGTCACTTTGGTCCAAAAAGGTTTGGACTAGCACCAAAGGTCCAAAGTTTTCATTTTGTTGCTTGTTTGGTCCAATCTGTTTTGATTTTTTTCAAAATGACAGATTTACCCCTGTTAATATGATTTTTTTTTTCAGATTTTCAGATTTAAAAAAATAAAAAATAAAAGTAAAAATAAAATAAATCTCTCTCTCTCTCTCTCTCTTATTTATTTTTCTGATTTTCAGATTTAAAAAATAATAAAAAATAAAAATAAATCTCTCTCTCTCTCTCTCTCTCTCTCTCTCACGTATTTGAGTGTGTTTTTTACTGTGTGAACACAAATCTATAAATCCATGACAATCCTCCTGTCCCAAATCCACCACAATGTCTTGAACTTGAAATGCACCTTCAATCTCTCACTTGTTGGAGCATTCATTGGAGCCGGGAGAGACGACATCGAACCAAGATCCGACGAGGTCACCAGACAACCTTCTAAGAGATAGGGGAGAGAGAAAATCATTGTATGGCAGCTCAAACGGTTTTTCAAATCCACCTCCATTTAGGGTTTCAGTCGCCTATATCTCTGAAACTAGGGTTTGCAAGCTTAAACAAGAAGGATGACTCCGCCCCCTTTCCTCTCACCTACATATCAACTTCGATCTGCCGCTGCAAAACTGTAACACCCCAATTTTCATATATAGATTATATAACAAACAATCGTTCCAACATCTCCCAAGATCAATTATGAACTTACTTATAGACTAAACTATAGCGGAAGCAAAAATAAAATAAAATAAAGTCTTCAATTGAACAACTTCGGGTGTTACGTCTTTACGGAATTCCTCTGTCGTCTTGTTGATCAATCCTTCTCCCTAGCCTTCTTACTGCCACTTGTTATATAGTTTCCTGGGTTGCGCACATTTATAGTTTCTAAATGGGTAAGCCTAGAGCCTAGTGAGTTCGTGTTGCACATTCATGTCTATCACTTAAAAAAAATTGTTTTATCATATATGTTCAATAAATCATACAACAAATATATCACCCGATGACATAATTTAGGGGAACGATTAATTATCTAGAGAAAGAACCGAAGGTTCATTTCCCTTCTCCCTGAGACAACTCATCATCCATTGTACTCAAGTATTTTAAATATCCAAGGAAATGAGTATGATTCTCAATTCCCATCCCCGCCGATCACACACATCCGTCATGCTCACGACGATTAAACACCCCACCAGTTCCCACTAAACATGTCCCAAAAAAAACACACACACACACACAATAGACAACAATTCCAAAATAACATTTGCACACAACCATACTTATCATAAAACATACTGTCAATAAATAAATAAAAACCACATAATAAACACATGACAAACATTTATGTTCGAGCAACCACAGAACACGAAAAACTCACCTTGCAACCGATAAGTCCTAACAGAAGCTTTATTGCTAATATGCACCCTACATTCCACAAACAAATTTCCTAAGGCAGTTGTTCGAAAACATCATACGTGTTTGTTTCGGTTCTACTATCCAAATGTCTTGTTCGGCCAACCAAAATTTATTATCCAGTTTTATCATTCAAGAGATTTGTATAAACTTTGAACCACATATTATATTTCATCGTTATCGAATTAAGAAAGTCTCATACTTTAACTTAATACTCCATGTAACCATACCATAAATATATAAAAATATTTATATAAATTTATTAACCCTTTGAAAACAGGTTATATTC